TCAGGTGAAGTCATCATCTGTGTTATAACATTGACATAGATAATGAGTAATTTATTACTGAATCCCACTCCATGGCCCTTCTGTGTCCTCTGCACTTGACTTCCCTGCAGTAGAAAGCTAGAGAACTCCTTATATATTTTAATTTCTTAGTTCACATTATATAATTCTTTGGCCACTCTTTCATAAACTCTTTTCCTTTGGATTGCTCCTTAAAAGTCTACTGTCAGTCCTTTTCCCCTTTCTCATTATACTGGCCAATTATATACTTCCTAATCTCATTCACTTACATAGTTTTATCTATCACCTAAATTCCTTTTTACATCATTGATTTGACCCCCAAATTTACAACATCAACCAGCAGTCTTTCTCCAGGTTTTATACCTTTATCTTCAATTATGTGGTAGATATCATCACAAGAATATTATCTAGACATTATGGAGTCAGCTAAACTGAACTCTAGCCATTTCAGTATGATTCTCCTATCCAGGGCTTTACATCAGTGAAAGAAACCAACACCTACCACCAAATACCTGGAAAGATTCCAACATGCCTCCTCCCTTTTCACAATTACTTAGTTGGCCATTAACTCTTCAATAAACCAAATGTACACACTGCTATTGAATTGATCCCAACTAATAGTGAGTCATCAGTGGGTTTCTGAAGCTCTAACTCTTTATGGGAGGATATTACCTATCTTTTCCTGGGAGTAGCTGATTAATTTGAACTACCAATGTTTTCTGTCAGTAATATGCAGTTCAGACAACAGATCAAGGAAAACACTGTACAGTTTAAAAATTTTTTTTTAAAGTGTGCATCAGGGCTGTATCCTTTCACCATACCTACTCCATCTACATGCTGAACAAATCATTCAAGAAGCTGGACTTTACGAAGAAGATTGTCAACAAGATTGGAGAAAGACTTATCACAACCTGCGTTATGGAGGACACAACTTTACATGCTGACAGGAGAACTGAAAATACTTGTCGCAGACCATCAAGGAATGGACTGAGAAATTATGGTACATTCACACAAAGAAAAATTGTGCAGCATGCAGGAGCAATGATCTTACTATATAACTTGGGAAGGGTTGGAGAGCATTATGCTGAGTAAACAAACTCAGATCCATAAAGACAAAGACTGTATAAAACCATTTTTGCAGAACACCTATGGGGGGAGGGGAAGGTGGGAGCAGAGCAGCAAGGATGGGTGGGGGGAGGGTGGTGGTTAATAATATGGTCCCACAATTTGATGGGTGGAGGGAGGAGTGGGTAAAGGAAATAGGAAACATCTGGTGTGAAAAAAAATGTATAAGAACTTCGGAGGGAGGAATGGGTAAAGGAAATAGGAAACATTTGTTGTGAAAAACAATGTATAAGAACTTTGCAAGTAAATCAGTATAAAAGTTTTCTTTTAAAAAAACAAAACAAATAAAACAAAAATCCAAACAACAAAAAACCTCCCCTCACACATGGCTAGTAATGGCAGCTCAAGAGCTGCCCATCAATAAAAATAACATGAGGATAGAGAACAAGTGAGTAAGGAGTAGGAGTCCACCCACAGCTCTGTGGGAGAAAGATGGGCTAGCTCCTTACTTATGATTTACAGCCTCCAAACTCCCACTGAAGGATCACTTTCAGTGTGTTCCAACACAATATTAATGAGAGAATAAGTAGAGAGAACAACAACAATAAAAAACCAACACTGCTACATAATTGTTTAGGAAATAAATCTGGAAGAACAAGGAGATATGTGAGAGAAAGAAGAAAGTAGATCAAGACGAAATAAAAAGCCAGTAAGCGAACAAACATTAAGCCCCACAGACCTCAATCTGGATGACGAAGGAACTATCCAGAAAAAGACACAACAAAACAAAGGAAAAAGGAGAAACGAGACCAGGCGACTGATTGCCTGACATGCAGATGTGGAAGAGAAAATGTCAAATACAACACTTAAGTTCTAAACTCTGGTGGCTACAAAATGAAGCAAATATTATATAAGTGGATTTAAGAAAAAGTGGTTTCTTTAGAGAAAAGGAAAATAAGTTAAATTTGAAATGTGTTCTACCATTTTACATTCTTTTCCAGCAATGTATGAGTGCTCAGGTTTCTCCAAAACCTCATTATCATTTATTAGATGTGAAGGTGTAATGAGTAATATACTGGACTTCTGATGAGCAGGTCAGTAGTTTTAATCCAACAAACAGCTCAGTGCGAAAAACACAGGGAGTGTTTTTCTGCAAAAATTTACAGATTCGGAAACTTGACGGTGGAATTGTTATTAGTTTAGAACTGACTCGATGGCAGTAGGCTTGAGTTTTGATTCAGTCAGCACCTAATCAGTAAGGATTGTGTAGTGGTTAAACACACAGCTGCAAACTGAATGGTTAGGGTTATAAAGTCACTTTGGATAAAGATGTAGCAGTCAGCATGCAAAAAGCCTTGTAAATCCTATAGGGCAGTTCAACGCTCTTCTAACAAGGTCACTGTGACTTAAAACCACATTTCCAACAATGAGCTTGTTTCTTCAAATAAATATATAAATATCAATTTTGAGTGTCTGCTATGTACACCAAGTACCACTGAGATTCAAGGCAAGGTAACCAATAATAACCAAAAACCTGTGGCCATCAAGTTATTGTCAATTCATAGTTACCTAACCAAATCTAGTACTTTAACTATATGTGATTACTACAACAGAGATTGAGCTGCAGGAAAAAGAAACAAAAATATATATTTCTTTACTTGCTAAAAAACACCTAACCATACTTTTGCTTTCAAATGTGCTTTCACTGCAGACTCAGCAAATGTGCACAGACAAAAGTAACTCTGTGCCCTGTCAGGAGCTTGCTTTGTGCTGTAGGGATAAGGTTACTCTGGTCCTCTCAGCAGCTGTTAGGACAGAACAGTAACATCAGGGAGAGGACATGAAAGTTTCACATGGTTTCATTTCATGAGAAACAGAGTGACTTCCCCCTACAGCAAGCTGTTCTATAAGCACATTTTATTTTAACCATTAGTGTTCCCAAAACTCTTCTTAGAATTTCTCTCTGGAGTGACAATCTGAAGAAAGACAAGAAATGGCAAAAGATAGAGCTGTGGAGAGATCGGTGGGGAAATGTTCTGTAGTATTAAATATCACACAAGTCTATAATGTCAGTCAATCTTTTTCATAATGATTTAAGAAATGTGAAGCTCTGAAAACCTAAGATGGTTAACCAAAAATCACACACCAATCACTGGAACTGAATTTCATTAACTTTTTCTGGTCAAACTTGGAGGTTGAATAGATTATAGCATAGAGACTTACTAGGTAAACATCAAATGATAGCTAACTAGGTAAATGTGGTCTGTATTTAGAAAAAAACAAATACATTTATGTAAATTGCATTCCTGATAGAGATTTAATATAGTCTTTGTTCTAAATCCAGAAAGGGCAAGTAACCAGTGGAACTCACACAATGGTTTCGTGCAAAGTCAAAACTAGAACCCCGAAAACAAAACAACAACAGAATTGTGTTCTTAGATTTTACTAGCATTCTCAAAATATCTTTTTTTTTAAACTACCTTCCTATCTGTTTGTGTGCGCGCGTGTGAAGATTACAAAAAAAACACTTGCAAAAAAATACTGTTGTGGACTAAGTTCTGCCTGAAGCAGATGCCATGTGTTATAAGAATGGGACTGCTCCACAAGGTTTTCCTTGTTTTAGTATTTATGGCAATAGTTTAATTTTGGTTCAAACTGTCAATCTTCAGCTTTGTGGCTCATCACAAATCACATTATACAAACATTTGACAATACACAATCACTCGCCACTATGATGTTTATGGCTCATGATTACTCTCTGTATGTTTTAGTATAAGTGTGCTCCATAAAGTCTTTCAGTGGCTTATTATCAAAAGTAAGTACTCTAATTTTTCTTTCAAGGAGCCTCCAATCACTTAGTTTAAACACATTTTCAGAAGGAACCAGTCCTTTGAGACATTAAACTGGAAATGTAGACATTATACTGGGAATGGCAGAGATGATGACCCTCAAACAGGATGGACAGACTCAATGACTACCATAATGGGCTTGACCATAACAGATCATGAGGATGGTTCAGGAAAAGACAAGATTCAGATCTACGGTTGTTATGAGTTGTAGCTGATGTGGGGGAAGGAATGGCAAAGTACGGACTGTGGATTCACCTGTAAGAAAACAATCTGAACTTTGTTTTTAACTCTCTGCAAGAGAGTTAGCATGTAAGGCTAACAGATGGAGGCTGATCAAACCAAGTCTCTTCCCAAAGACAGACTAGTTAGGTTCATGCTGACTAAGCATTACATGGTGTGATGCCATCTATTGTTATAACATGAGGAAACTGGTAATAATCTTGAAGCTTAAAGCTAAGCAAAGCTTCCTGATTGGTGATATCCATAAGTATATCCCTTTTGGGGACGTGGAAGCTCAGCTGTTTCCACTCTTAGACCTCACTGCATGTGTTTATAAAGTTCTTATACTTTTTGGCTATAATAAAGTTGATGTCTTGAATTCTGTGGAATTAATGACAACCCATATCACTCAAGCAGTATTTAAAAGTGGCATCTGTTCACCCTGTTCCTTAGTGCAGGTTAGGTGAGGAATGAGAAGGCAGAAAAACGAACATCTACTGAATGCATTCTGAAGGCATATCTGTCTGTACTACAGAATCCTTATTACAATCCTGTAGGATTGCTACTGATTTGTACTATAGAAATGAGGACACTGGGTCACAGAGACACCAAGTCACTTTCTCCAGCACCACAGCACTATACAGAGGAAGACTCTCTCCAAAGAAGCGGTCCTGATGTTGCACAGGTTTAAAGGAACCTAGTAATTCACACCTGTTGTGTGTCACTAGGGCTCCTGACAAATGCTATGTGTTTTCTGAATCAAAAAGGCATATACATTTGTTTTGGTTTTAGAATATTAAAATACCACATTAATACAAAATAATGGCAAATTCTTTCCCAATTTTCTTCAAGGAATCACACAAGGAATAACCCATGCTGAACCAAACCTACAACTGTCTCCAAGCGTTTCCTGACACGTGTTTTTGCCTACAGTTCATCAAAACAGGAGAATGGGGCTCAACTTGACACTGACAAAACTACCAGGTAAATTCACCAAAAAAGGGGACAAAGAAAAGCTTCATCAGTAACTGCAATAATAGTTTAAATAGTGTGCTGTTGAGATTTAAAAAAACAAAACTCCAACAATTTAAACTGTCTTTAATTAAGAATAAAACAACAAACATGCAGGAATGATTATTGACATAATGTGAATTGCTATTCCTTAATTTTAAGATTTGTTTAATGAAGAGAGTATCTCTAAAGCTTACACTGGGATTAAATCAATAACATTAGGATCATTTTTACACTCAATCTGAAGTGCATATTACTTTCCAAATTTTGTGTTCTAAAACAAATCTCACTAATGTTTCCACCAGCAAAAGTGAGTATCTGTCTTCTTTTCTTAGTAACTACTTAGGAAATTATCATATTGGGGAAGCTGGCTATGTCATGCGTTGGAGTAATACCCAAAATGTGCATGACATTATGCATCAGAGAGTTGGACAGTGAATAGGGTTGATAGAAAGAGAATTGATGCTTTTGAGCTGTGGTGCTGGAGACGAGTGTTGAATATACCATGGACTGCTAGGAGAACAAATGGGTTTGTCCTGGGGAAGGTGAAGCTGGAATGCTTCTTGGAGTCAAGGATTCTGAAGCTTCGTCTGACATACTTTGGGCATGTTGCAAGGAGGGACTGGTTCTTGGAGAGGGACATCATGTTTAGCAGAGTGGAGGGGCAGCAAAGGAGAGGAAGACCTTTGATGAGGTGGATCAATTCTGTGACTGGAGCGGTGGGAATAAGTGCGTTAGAGATGGCTAGGTTGACACAGGATAGAACAGCATTTAGAGTTCTTGTACATAGAGTTGCTATGAGTCACAAGTGATTCAATGGCACATAACAACAACAACAACCAAGCACATAGAGAAGTAACACTTTGCCACTCTGAGCCAAAGACTAACAACCTCAGCAAGTGATAATGAAACAAAATAATCTAGATTCCACAGCACTTTAATTATACTATATATATCTCATATAAAATATATAAAGAATATATATGTACAAAAAAATTTTTACATTTGTTTGTATACACAATTTATATATGATGTATTTCACATTTTTCTTCATTCACATTGTTTCATACAATCGTTCTCACACATTTTTTTGTTTTGTTTTTTGGTTTTTTAGTGGCATTATGTCTCCAAATCCAGTATCTGATGTTTTCTCTTTTTTATTATTAATTTCAATGAAAATTTACAGAGACTTTGGATTTCCATTCATTGTTGCACTTTTCTCCCTGCCAACCCCTTTTCCCTAATGCATTCTTCTCTTTGAAAAGTAAAAGAAAAATTCTTTCATTATTTTACAATCCCTTTACCCAGGTTCACTCTACTACGCAGCCTTCATTCTGAACACGTCATAAGAAAAATACCCAATCACATATCCCTTTTAAACAGATTTCTCCCTCATCTGTTTCAATGCAGTATGCATAATTTATCCCATCTATCTCAGTCTCCCCCCAACCCTGATGTCAGTCCTATATTGTGACAGTGGCACCATGCAGTATTTGTCCTTTTGTGACAGGTATTTCACTCAGCATAATGTCCTCCAGGGTCACCAATTTTTAATAACATTTCATGAGTTCCTTGTTTTTCAATGCAGCATAGTATTTCATTGTGTGAATATACCACAGCTTCTCTATCCATTAGTTTTTTGATGGGCACTTAGGTTATTTCCAACTCCTTGCTATTGTGAATAAAGCCACGATAAACATGGATGTGCATACATCTGCTTGGGTGGCAGTTATGGTCTTTTTGGGGTATATTCCCAACAGCAGAATTAATGGGTCAAATGGTATCTCTATTTGCAAATTCTTGAGAAAGCGCCACACTGCCTTCTACAGTGGTTGCACCATTTTATACTCCCACCAACAGTGAATAAGGGTTCCAGTTTCTCCACAACCTCGCCAACATTTGTTCTTGCTGTTCTGTTAAATTTTGCTACTCTGACTGGGGTGAGATGGTATCTCATAGTTATTTTTATTTGCGTCTCTTTTTGAGCTGGGGATTTTGAACATTTGTTCATGTGCTTGTTGGCCATCTGAATGCCTTCTTTGGTGAAGTGTGTGTTCATATCCTGTGCCCATTTTTCAACTGGCTTGTTTGCTTTATCTTGCTATGGTTCTCAAGTTATTTTATAAATTCTAGATATCAGTCCCTTATTTGACATGTCATTACCAAATACTTTTTCCCAGTCTGTGGCTTTCCTTTATACCCTGGTGGAGAAATTTTTGAATGTGCATAGAGATTTTTTTCATAGAAGGTCCCATTCATATATTTTTTTTTTCTTCTCCCGGTTGTAGATTTTTCAGGATACTTGGAAGGCTGTTTATGTTGTGGATTAGGACTTCAAGTGTTCTTCTAAGCTTTTCTTTAATGAAGTTTATAGTCCTTGGTTTTAGTCCTAGGTCCATGATCCACTTTGAGTTGGTTTTTCTATATGGAGTGAGGTGTGGATCTTGCTTGAGTTTTCTGCAGATAGTTTTCCAATTTTGCCAGCACTTGTTAAAAAGTCTGTCGTTTCCCCACTTAACTGATTTCATCTCCTTGTCAAAAATCAGTTGACCATATGTAGATGGGCTGATTTCTGAGTTCTCAATTCTATTCCATATGTCTGTCATTGTACCAGTACCATGCTGTCTTAACCACCATGGCAGTATAATAGGATTTGAAATCAGGGAGTGAGATGCCTACTATATTTTTCCTATTTTTAAGAAGTGCTTTGCTTATTTGGGGTGTCTTTCCATTCCAAATGAAACTGGAGATTGCCTTTTCCATCTCATTGAAGAATGGGATTGGTATTTGTATTGGTATTGCATTGAACTTGTAAATTGCCTTTGGTAGTATTGCCATTTTCACAATATTGAGTCTTCCTATCCATGAGCAATGAATATTCTTCTCCAGGTCTCTCTTTGTTTCTTGTAGTAATATTTGTCATATTCTTTGAATCAATCCTTTGTGCTTCTGGTTAGATTTACTCCCAAGTATTTAATCTTTTTATTAGCTATTGTGAAGGGAATTGTTTTGCTCAACTCTGACTCTGTAATTTCCTTTACACTGTAGAAAAACCAACTGATTTTTGTATGTTGATTATGTATCCTGCTACTTTGCTGAATTGGTCAACTATGTCCAATAATTTTCTTGCTGAGTCTTTAGGGTTTTCTAAGTATACTATCATATCACCTGCATAGAGAGATAATTTTACCTCTTCTTTTCCAATTTGGATACCTCTTATTTCCTTTTCTTGACTTATTGCTAAGACTTCCAATACAATAATGAATAAGAGAGGTATTAGTGGGCATCCCTGCCTAGTTCCTGTTCGTAAAAGGAACACGGTTATCATCTCTCCATTGAGAACAATGCTGGCTCTCGGGTTTTCATAATTTTTACTATGTTAAGAAATTCCCCT